TATTGAAAACATTTTCCATTTTCAGAGCTGGATCAGGGATTTGGAACATTAGTCATATGCTTAGTAATCGTAGATTAGTGGGTAGAATGCATAGGATATATCACATTGCATGCACAAGACTTCCATAATATAACTCATATTTGTTTTTTATGCCCCCCATAGGGGATTTTTTAAATTGCATTTTCTATAAACTACAACGAAATAAGGGAGGGGATCTACATACTATGAGAGACAGTAAAGTAAAAAAAATCCCTAAAAACCCAAGAGATAGTGGTCATACAAAATGCTTATAAAATTAGCTTCTAGCTTACAATTTCAGTTAAAGATCATTGGATGTGGTCATCAAACATTCTATTTAACCTTAGAACAAAAGATAACATCTACGCATCTGACTTCATAAAAAGCAATATACGAAATGGTTAAAGTCCTTGTAAAGGATCCTAGACACAATGACAACTCTTTATCTAGCCTTTTTCTTTCTCAACTGATAACTTGTTTTTGGGGCTGCCGCCCCAAGTTTTGAATCTGAGTCCTCATCAAAAGATGCCAGTTCTCCCTCATCTTCGCTCCCCTTGGTGCTATCATCTTTCTCTTTGTCTTCACCTGCTGGACGGTTATGTTACTACAAAAATTCCAATGCCTTTTCAACAGAGTCAATTTTTTCTTTCTTGTCTTTAAATTTGAAGGTTATGCCTTTGGGCACATTCCATCTGTAGGGGATGTTGTTTTTCTGAAGAAATAACACCAAGTCTCTGAATTTTCTTCTTTTCTTTCTTATTTCAAATGGAATGTCCTTCAAAGTTTTAATTTCTTTGTCCTTGATCTTCAAGGTAGATCCATTTGTGGCTTTGAGGATTTGATCTCTCACTTGTCTTCTGGAGAATCTCACTATCACTTCCCCGGGCAGATTATTCTTCCTTATATATTCAGAATACGACCTGAAGATCGTATCTATTTCGCTTTGTAATATATCCGCTTTAATATCTGCTATCGGGGCTATAGTATCACACATGATCTGCTTTAGATCTTCTCCCTTCTCTTGAGGAACTCCTTGAAATCTTAGGACATAGCTTACCCTTTCCATTTGTAGCTGTAACAGATGAGACTCATCAGCTAGTCTCTTTTTCTCCATCACCTGCAGTTGTTTTTTTAAGCTTCCTAGTGTTGGCATCCACTTCTTTGAGCTCTTGCTCCGTTTTCTCCATTTTTTTCATAGTCTCATTAAGTTGGTTTTGTTGTGCATCGAACTTTTGATGCAAAGCCGTAACTTGTTCCAGCAGAGGGCGCAATGCCTCAGTCAGCATCCTTTGAAGATCTGTCGTTGTGTCCTGTCTAGGGGCAGAACTCGCTGGGCTGGCACTTCCTGCAAGAGTCTTCAATTTTGGTAGCTTATCCTTTTCCTCCTTCATTGGAGGCACCATGTTTGAGATTGCTTACTTTTTGTAAAAGTTCTCAAAGGCTCCGGAATCCTTGAAAACGTCTGGTGAGTTCTTGTGTGCTTTTTATTTCAGTCCACCTTGTTTTAATAGCCCCCCCCTTTCGTCTGCTTCACAATGTTCATTTATTTTCTTCCCGAGGGAGAGCCCCCCCCCGTTTCCAAAGGGGAGGCTTTTGGCTAGTTTTCAGGCGTTTTTGCTTATACTTTGACTCACATTTCAATGATACAGCCGCGTTTAGTCCCAAATTCACTTCTCCACCAAACGCTTGTCCCAGTGTGCGTTCTTAGTTCCATTCATGGAAGCTCTGCGGCAGGACCTTTGGGGCATGGAAAAGCCCCCCTTTGCTGGCCAGTTGCCGGAGGAAGAGCTCTCCTAGCGCCCCATGGCTGGGAGCCCATCGCAAGGGCTCTGGGGGTGCTGCAGACAGTTGCACCCCCTCCCAGCCGCAGGTGCTGGTGCACGTCTCCTGGAACTCCGGGAGAACACGGCCACCATAGCAGACACCAAAACCGGAAGTTTTCTTAATATAACTCATATTTGTTGATAGCTAATATATTTAGTGACTGTATTTACTGTTAAACTGTAAGTATTTTCATGAATAATTACTTTTCAAAAGTTAAAATGATATCTAACTACAAGCCTGAAATTTAACAGCTGGTAATTTAAAAGTTTTATTACTTTTGTGTTCACTTTGGTAGCACATGTACTATTACTTGTTTTTCTCTTGCTGATTGATTCACAAAGAGAACAATCCTAAGTCTACTCAGAGGTATATCCCATGTTATTTCTTGGGGCATATTCTTAGAAAAGTACCCTTAGGGTTTCAGCCTAAGTGATTCACTGGTATCTCGTAAGAAGACTTGAGGGCCTTATCTAAACTGCTGGTGGGAGTGTTCTGCTTAACCTTGTTCTGGGAGACGATCATTGTTAAAATCAAGATTATGACTGGTTGTGAAATTCTACTTACTCCAGAGTTGGTATTACTAAATATTTGGCCTGATTCCCAATTTGGAAATGAAAAAAGAAAATTAATTGCCACACTGTTAACAATTGCTTGATTAACAATTGCATCAGTTTGCAAAAGTAAATTGAAACCATCAGTACAAACCTGGCACCAAAAAATTTGGGAACTTATAATAATGGCAAAAATTACTGAGAGTATACAATCAACAGAACCAAGAGCTCAACCCACCTCTGGTATATGTGGATACCTGTTATGTTTTATTTGCTGGAGAATGATATAATTCCTCCAGACCCTGTATATGAAGAGATACTGTATAATTTTTTACCTTATTACCTTTTTATCGCCTTCTGTTTACCCGTAAATATTCAGTAATAAAAATTAAAAAAAAAATTAAAAAAGACTGCGGGCCAAACTGTGGACACTGCTGCCATTTTAAAGAGATTTAAAAATGCTGTGAGGCAGCTCTGTGAGCTGAGGCTCTCTTATCCCCTCCCATTCACCATATTAAATGCAGAAATGGCGGTGTGTGTGTGTGTCACGATTGCGCTGGTGGGCCAGGCAGGGCACGGGAGTCCGAAACACAGTCAGAGGTCAAGGTACCAGAGAAGACAGAGTAAAATGAGCAAAGTCCAAAACGCCAAGTCAAAACGTAGCCTAGGGTTACTAGAGGTTGTATTAAAGAGTTCAGAAGCCGAAAGCCGTTCGTCAGAAGTTGTCATGCCTGCCCCCGATCTGGCGCCTGGGAGCTCTGAAACGGAGGACTCCGTGCCTTTAACATCATCAGAGGCACGAGAGTCCTTGCCAAACCTCAGTGCCGGAGAGGATGAATACCAAACCCCAGGACAGCTTGCACCAAGTCCTATGAGGAAAAGTTGAAGGAGTTGAGTAAGTTTAGCCTGGAGAGAAGATGGCTGAGAGATTATATGCTAGCCATCTTCAAGTATTTGAAGGGCTGTCATATAGAGGATGAAGCAGAGTTGTTTTCTGTTGCCCCAGAAGGTCAGACCAGAACCAACGGATTGAAATTAAATCCAGAAGAGTTTTTGGCTAAACATTAGGAAGAACTTCCTGACAGTTAGAGCTTCCTGACAGAGCGGTTCCTCAGTGGAACAGGCGTCCTCAGGACGTTGTGGGCTCTCCTTCTTTGGAGGCTAGATGGCCATCTGATAGCAATGCTGATTGTGTGAATCTAGGCAGATCATGAAAGTGAGGGTGGGGATGAGTTGATGCTCTGCTTTAGTGGCCCTTTCTTACATGCCCAGGGTAATGTTAATTGTCACTTTGGGGTCAGGAAGGAATTTTTGTCCAGGCCAGATTGGCCCAGGGATCCTGGATTTGGAGGTTATTTACCTTCCTCTGGGCATAGAGCAGGGATCACTGGGGGAGTGAGGGGGGTATTTATACATTTCCTTCATTGTGCAGGGGATTGGACTAGATGACCCTTGAATTTCCTTCCAGCTCTATGTTTCAGTTGTGGCATCACTTCCACCTCCCCAGATTATGTTCACCCAGATACATAATACAAAACCCCACTAGCAGCAGCCAGCTGCTCCTGGTGAGTCATGGGACAATACAGTAAACAGTCTGATCTTCATTGTGGTCTCTGTGCACGCACCCAACCCATATGTGGTACTGCACAGATGACCACTCGAAGATCATCAGTTACAGGTAAGCAGCCTGTTTTTGCCAGTCTGTGGTTTCCAGCTTCTGTTCCATCACTATGTAATCTGGAGGTATTTTGTCACAATCCCCAAGGTTCACCAAACATGACCCACAGAGCAGAGAGGCCTGTTGCTCTTTAGCTTGTGTCTCTTGGAAGAGCTGGGCTTTAAGAAGGTCTTCTGCTGGTAATTATGTTCTGCCAGTCAGGCCACAGGGACATCTGTAGTATAGAAGAGATGATATGCAACCTGTGAAGCTCCGCAGTCCCACCAAGGGTGCAATCTCCACTGTAGCTTCAGGAATTACCTGGCTTTCTTTTCTTCCAAAATGAGCATTAGTGCCTCTCTTTCTTTCTTCTTTTTGTTATTAGGCAGAGAGTTGCTATACTTTTAGTGACTGAGTATCATTTTTTAATTAATATAGTATTTTAATTAATGTAGATTTTTAAAATTAATATAGTAAGGAGACCTTATTTTGGACCAGCCTATGGAATGCCAGATAGTGAGTTCTGAAGAAAAAAATTCTGTTCAGGTTGCGTGCTGTCTTTCCAAAGCCAATGAGTATGGAGAAGACCTTGTAATCCTCCAAAATTTCCACTTTGGTCCCAGAGTCGCTCCAAAACTAGTTGACGTCCTCTGCCATCCATGGCTGTTGATGCACACCAGGAACTGAAAAAAAGAAGTAATATCATACAAATTAATTTCTTGATGTCGTCTTTTCCACAGACCATGCCCCAGCACTATACCAAATCCATCTGCTTCAGTTCTGGCCTTGATTCCTTCTCAGCCAGCACCATTAGAGTGTACCGGCATGATCCCACAATTAATTAAACCACTAATTAGTTTAAGTTTCTAATATAGTTAGGGGTTGTATTTTTTAAAGTGACTGAGAAATTAACACTGATTTTTCCCATGCTTTTGTCTTTTGTCTTTCAGTTATTTGCCATCTTCCGTGTATGAATGGGGGCCAGTGTAGTTCTAGAGATAAATGCCAATGTCCTCCTAATTATACTGGTAAACTTTGCCAGATCCCAGTGCAGACCAGCAGTGGTCCAAAACTCTATCATAACCCACAGCAAGCAAGCAAGCCTGTGGGATCACATGTCATCCATTCTACGCATACTTTACCACTGACTATGCCTGGGCAGCAAGGAGTAAAAGGTAAACATTTTCTCTTCCTCTTAATGTTTAGATTTTTGTATTGGCTGTAGATTTACTTCTTTTTTTGGCTTCCGGAGAGCCACAGACTACCATAAAATCTATCCCAGTAGCTTTAAAATTTAGCAGGAATTCAAAGACCATCAAAATGACTGGATTTTGTTTTCCTTAGATGGTTCAAGTAATGAGAAACATGTCACTGTTTGATAAGATACTGTGACTTTCATTCATTCCAAACAAAAAATGAATTTGTACTTTCAAAATGAGACAGTTCTGTGATGAAATTCTGTTTCTTTTTAGGAAGTAGCTTGCTCTTAAAAGCTTTACAATAGCCTATTGGATGTTGCTTATCTTTTTCATATATTTGCTGTCAGAGAGGAGGCTAGCTAGATAGAGAGAGCAAGACTCAAAGACAGACTGTATGAAACCAACTATAGTTGCTTTGATTATTTAAAACTGGATAATCAGAATTGTGGATATTAAAATAATTAACCATTATTATTTACAGCTGTCTTTAGAACAGCATTCCCCTTTTTGTCACATTTTTATAAATCTGTGCTGTGTAAGTGGTTTTTATAGTCTGCAGAATACTTTACAAATCAAAATTTTATTCACAAAATTTGCTTATCGAAATTTGTTCTTAGCACTTCCATCAGTAGGGTTCTGGTAACATCAGCAGAGCCCTATTGGATTGGTCCAAAGGTTCATGTAGCCTAGTATTCTTGCTATCAGCATTCAGCCAGCTGCAGGGATTACACTAATAAAATAGTATTCTAATTGGGATTTAAACCAAGGTTTAGAATTCTGGGATTTTGTTGTTGTTGTTGTTGGGAGGGTTGTGAACAAGCTTCAGTTTGCCTGGGTTGCAGATATCAGATGACATGATAAATTGGAGCTTGATTCAAGGCTTCCTATAGTGTTCAGTTATGCTCTGCGCAAGAATAGAGGAGATGGGAGGGAACACTTGAGCATGAGAGCAAGCTGCATTAGTGCCCATCACAGATAAATAGAGGTTTGTAGAGACATCAGAATGTGGCTAAAGTTGAGGATATGTAAAATATTGCTTGGAAAAAAATAATGTGTTTACTATATGTTTGGTGTTGCTGAGTTGAGGAGTGGTGTTATTTAATTGGACTTTATTTCTTCTTTTAATTGTTTTTCCAGTTAAATTTCCTCCTAACATTGTGAACATTCATGTGAAACACCCCCCTGAAGCTTCAGTGCAGTTCCATCAGGTTTCAAGAATTGATAGCACATCTGCTGGACAAAAAACAAAGCCATCCCAATCAGGACACTCCCAGGTTTCTTATCAAAGTCTGCCATTTCAGAAGACTCAGAAAGTACATCCACCCTATTCACATCAGCAGCCAGTTTCTCACATATACCCTATTTCTGCTAAAACTCAGCTTGGGCGATGCTTCCAGGAGACTGTTGGGACACAAGTAAGTAGTGTTTTACAAATATTTTAGATACTTAATGATTAAGTAGATGTTGTAATGCAGAAGAAGAAGTGCAGAAGAGGGCAACCAAGATGATTAAGGGGTTGAAGCACTTTTGTGATAAGGAAAGGCTGAAGAGTCTGGGACGTTAAGATTAAAAAAAAACACACAGGTAAAGGATGAGATGTGATAGAGATTTATAAAATTTTGCATGCGGTGGAAAGAACTTTTTCTCCCTCTCTTTAAGTTTCTAGAACTTGAGGAAATCCAGTGAAATTGATGGAAAATAGATTCAGGACAGACGAAAGGAAACATTTATTTATTCAACAAATAAATAAATTGTGGAATCTGTTGGATGTAGTGATGGCTCTTAGACAGAATAATGGAGGATAGGTCCATTGGTGGCTACTAGCTATGGTGACTACAGGGAACCTCTGTAGTCAGAGGAAGTGTCAGTACTAGGAGGCAGCAACTGAGTGAAAGAACGTGTTGGGCTAGATGGACCACTGGCCTGATCCAGCAAGGCTCTTCTTATGTTCTTTAAATGTATACTGGTCTTTAATTACAAATCTGTCAAAAGCAGCTAATATTGTTACTGCAAAGAAATGGTACAGCTCGATAGTAGTATTAATAAAAGAATGGACTGCTAAGATTCGATGTGTGCCTAAATAGCCAATGTCACTGAAATCGTTAAATTATGGTAGACCAAACTCTAAAGGTTTTCTCTCTGGTAATTTGCAGCCATTTATTGATTTTTTTTCTAAACAAAAGTATAATATAATATTAATGTGAAAGTGTACAATTGATTTTCAATATGATGTTGATGGAATTCTAGAAAAAAAGGAATTTAGTTCTAGAACTGTAATATGTTTTTTAAAACTTGAGAGAGACTGAAAAGTAATGCATGTGCTTCTCGCCACAAGAAAGAAAACAGGACTTATTTTGACCATGTTTTTCCTTCAAACAAGATTTCATGGCCGGATATTATTTTACATATTATTAGTGCTCTACACTTTTTGTTCATGAGCGTCAGAGTTCTTGATATTTTATTTATAAATATCGGATTGAATCCAACAATTCCCTTCCACTAAGTGAGTTTTTCTCTGATGAAGGATACCTTCTGCTGATAGAGCAAGGCTGTCACTTAGTGGGGGGGAATTGCTTAATCTAACTCATTTTTATGTCAAAAAGATACAAAGATGGGACCAACTGTCAAATACTAATCCTGACCTGACCTAGATGGCTCAGGCTAGCCTGATCTTGTCAGATCCAGAAACCTAAACAACATCAGCTCTGGTTAGTATTTCAGTGGAAGATCACAAAAGAAGCCTATGATTGCTGTGCAGAAGCAAACAATGGGAAATTACCTCTGTTCATTTCTTGCATTGAAAATCTGTAGGGATCACCATAGTTTGGCTGTGACATGATGGCACTTTCCACCACCAGTCCTGTCAAACTTCTGTCTAAATATAAATGAAGTTATCTCTCTCTCTCAAGGAATGTAATATTGGGGCTTATATATGAAGCCGCCTGATTGCTGTGGCAATCTTTGGAGTCCCTGCTTCAGGTTCTGAGAGTAGGCAATGGGGAGTGGGGAGAGGGCCTTCTCAGTCATGGCACCAAAGCTCTTGAACCTCCCTCCCCAGCAAGAGTCATCTGTTCCCTTCCGCTGCCATCTTCCACAAGTGGGGAAATACTTATTAAGGTTTTTGGGGATTCTCTTAGTGATCCTTCCTTCCTGACCAATGTTTTAATTGCTGATTTTTGTGTCTTTGTATGTATATGAACTCTGTTTTTAATATGGTTTAATGATGTGTGTCGGGGGGTTGATTTTAATGGTTTGAAAATGTGATTTCATCATATATGTTTTAATTTGGTGGCTGCTTTGGTGGCCCTTGTGAGGGTAGAAAGGCAGGATATTCACTTTGTAGATGATGATGATGATGATGATGATGATGATGATGATGATGATGATGAAAACCAAAGAGAAGCTTCTAGTTGAAGTGTTCAAGGTAGACTTATTTAAGGTTACATAAACCAAAGAAGATTACAAAAAGACTGAAATCAAAACTCACTTTCACAACTGGAAGGAAAAGCACTTGCATGGGCAATGTTTGAAAGACATACAGAATAAAGTTGATAGTGAAAATACCTGGAAGTGGCTCCAAAATGGACACTCAAAGAAAGAAACGGCAGGACTTATTCTAGTTGCATAATAGCAGGCACTCGAAATGAACAGTATGAAAGCGAAGATTCAGAAGACCAGTGTTAACAGCAAATATCGACTTTGCAATACAAAGGATGAAACAGTCGACTACATGGTCAGTGCCTGCAGTAAAATTGCTCAAACTGACTATAAAGAATGTCACAATAGAGTTGCAGCTATGTGGCACTGAAATCTTTGCAAGAAGCATGGCTTACCATCAGCCAGAAATTCATGGAGCACAAACCCTCAAGACCATGGAGAATGATGAAGCAAAGATTCTTTGGGACTTCTAATTACCCACAGATAAACACTTGGAGCATAACTACTTCTTCATACTGATAATCTTTCTGATGTAAGTTTCCAGTTGAGAAAGCCCTGTTTCTTGTCTTTTCTGATTTCCCCTCTTGGATAGTTGGAACAAAAAACAGTCCATACCCTTTATATACCATTAAGCAATAAGCAAGGAGGTCTGTATGTGTGAGGCAGACACTCCTGAAGTATGATTACTGTAGAACCATATGATTTAAGCTCTTTGAAAGAAGACTGTGATAAAAATGTAGCAAATAATGAATTGTCCCAGAAACAGCTATCCTCTTCACCATAAGTAGTTACAAGAAAGTGAGTTGTAGTTCATTCTTTCTTCCATTTTGTGCTTGAATATTCTCTCCATGCTCCATTTCTTCCTTGTCTTCTTTATAAGGTTTACAGTATAGTGTTAACCTCCTGTGTGTCTTTAAAAAATCATAAGCTTTTTAAGGCTCTGTGGGTTACTAGTTCAAGAACTCACCTTTTATTTTTAAAAGGACTTTCACACCTAATATATAAGATAAACTTCAAGGTTTCTTGAACAAATAGGCTTTCCTTAATCAGGCCTCCTTTAATCTTAAAATAGCATAAGGTTTCAGTTTGTTGTAAAAAGAGCTGGTTAATGAGATCTAAAAAATATAGAACACATATTCAAAGTAACTAAATTATAGTGGATTGTATCCTGTAATTATTTCTGCCTGCAGAAGAATACTTCCTCTGGCACAGGGGACTTTATTTTCACTGATATTTTCCTGCTGCAGACCTGGATGCAGCTTGGCATATGTTCCTAGGGGCCTCTGACCCCCTTGGACAGTATTTCAACAGGTGTGATAGGTTACAGGAGAAGGTGGAAAGGTCCCATGACATGAGATGAATTCCATTTGTAGTTCTTGTTGGGTACAACCCACTATCTGTATAGGTGTTGTTGTTCATCTTTGTTACAGCAGAACTTAAAATAATGCTGTGTGTTGGCATTCACTTTTCTCCAGTAACAGTTTTAGTCTTCATAGCATTTTGATTGCCCCCCCCCCGACTCTTAAGTGATCCTGTGGGCCTTCACTTGGCTTTATCCCTTGCTTTGTCTTTAAAGGGAATATAAGGACACTATTCTTCCATACTCTTCAGTTTCAGAAGCAGATACTGTATGTATAGCTTCACTAGCTCTCTTTTGGGAAGGCAGCAAATGCTATAAATCCATATTAAACACTTAAAACACTTAAAAAAATAAGCCTATGTTTCCAGAACAGCAAATGACTGTTGATGCATTTCACACTTTAGATTAGTTCAATGATCCCAGGAGCTTGCAGCATCTCTTTGGAGGTAGAGCTTTGGTTCAGATGAACATTTTTCCCATTACAGGAAAAGGGTAGGATTTCTGTTGGCCAGGAGGTAGAACCAACCTAACTCATCTTAAGGTTTAGCTTGAAATTAAACTATAGAAGTGCATCTGTTTTCTACACAAAAATTCAGTGGTGCATAGCAGAAAGTATGGAAAACAGTACATGGAGGAGTATACAGTTGTAGCATAGGGTTTCCCATGGCAACTATTTCTTTATTATGAGTTCATTGCTCTCAATCTATTAGATAGACTGAGAGATTAAGGACAGGCATTATGTGGTTAATGGGGATTGAAAATTCTGAATCAGAATGTCTGATCCCCATGTAGACTTGCTTTGCTGTGTTCCTATGTCTAGAATGGGTGTTAATACTAGAACCTGAGATGCTGTTTTGTTAGTTAACTTGGGAGTGGGTTCTTTTTTCTTGATTCAGAGAATGTCAGTTGCACCAGTCTTTGACATGTTAACTATGCTTATTATTTTCAATTTAATTCTCACTGTCAGTCTCAGAATATAAGTATTTCTGTGAAGTGTAGATCTTTGTGAAATGTTGACCTGAGTCTCACTAAATAATATTCAAATGTAAAGATTTGTTTTTAAATGTATAATGACAAGGGGGAAAGGAAGAAAAGCTTAAGAGAGAGAAGTAGGAAAAAGAGGAAACTACATAAGTCTTACTGGAAAGTCACAGCATGAACTTTACCATCACCCCACCATCCAATTGCCATCTTGATACATGTTTATGGAATATATCTGGCACAAAGTAAACCCTGGGCTTGCAGCCAGTGTTGGCTCTATGAAACTACCCAAAGGGGAAAAAATGGCAAAGAATAAGGAGGCTACAATAGGAGTCAATTGGGTGTTTTCAGAAAACCAATATGACCAATTATTTACTGCTTTAGTGTGATACTACAGGTCAGTTTCATGAAGACAAGTTGCTGTTATAGGATTGGATCCAAAGGACTATCAGCAGAGCTCTTCTCACAGAATGGTTCTTTCCTTCCTTGTGCAGTCCACCGTGCTTTCCAACTGATGCTCCTGAGAGGCACTAGGTCTTCTAAGGAACAGCACTGGGTGTGATGTGGGGCTCTGAAGTCACCCTCCCCCACTAGCAGAGGTGTCTTCCGGTGTAGTGGAAGACTATTTTGGATCCA